GCTGTAGGACGACGCCGCCGCTGCCGCCGCCGCCTGCCTGCTGCGGGGGGGCGCGCAAAGCGGCGCAGTGGCGCAGCCGTCAGGCGAGGCGCGCCGCGGGGGTCCCAGGCGCAGGTCAGGGGCGGCGCGGCGGCGAGTGCTGGCGGGTGCGCCATCTTCCGGCTTGCGTAGGTAGTAAACACAAGGCGGCATCCCCAGCCGTATGCCCCCCCCCACCCCACAAAAGGGTGTCCAGGGGGCGCGAAAACCACCCGCACTCCCTCACCAACACACACAAACGCAAGCACATGGGCACGCACGCAATACAACACATAAACACACACATCCACACGCACGCACATCACAACACGTACACACTGAACCACACACACACCTCAGCTGCGCCGCGCGCGCCATGGCCTTATCGAACTCCAGAAACGCCTTGATGGCGCCGCCCCGCGCGATCTCGGGGCGCCCGATCAGCTGCCACATCCAGCGCTCCAGATCCGCGCGCCGCTGGTCCAGAAGCTCCTTCTGACCCCCCAGCTGCAGCGGGTGCTTGGGGGGCGGCTGCAGCGCCCGGTCGCGCATGAGATCTGGCATCTGCGCTTTGAGCTGGCGGAAGAGTGAGGGGCAGTTTGGGGGTTTGAGGGGTATGTGGTGGGGCGTCGTGCTGGCGAGGCAGAGTGTTGTGCGCGGGGTCGGGCCGCAGCCCCCGGCGTGGGCGCCAGCCAGGCGTGGTAGGGGTGGCACAGCGGCGGCGGGTTTTGGCGAGGAGAACAGGGGCAAGCTGGGCCGGGCAAGCAGCCGTTGGTACGAGCGCCGAGGCGCTGCCGCAAGGGGTCAGCTGACCGAGAAGCACCCAGCCTCGCGGAGAGGTGGTGAGCACGCGCCGGGTTCCGAGTGCCCCGCGTTGCATGCAATCGCAGGCGGCCCTCACATCCAGGAACAGCTGGCGGAACTGTGAGTAGCGGCGCAGCACGAAAAACGGCGGCCGCGACAGCGCCGCTTGGTCGGTCGCGTCGGGGGGCTGCACCAGCACGTTAACGCGGTACAGCTGGCGGGGTGGAGGGCGGGGAGGAGGGTCGCATGTGGGGTGCATGGGGCGGGTGCCCGCGCGGGGCGGGTCGGGGCTGGGGTTGGGCAAACCCTGAGGGCGGCTGCATGCCTAGTTTGGACTGCCGGCAGCACAATGGTTGCCGGGTGCATGCAAACGCACGCTGCAGGCACGATAGACGCGGGCCGTGGAACGGGGCCAGGCACGGTGACAGGTGCAGCGCTGCGTGGGATGACGGGTGCGCGCCGCAGCGGCTTACCGTCACGGCCTCGCCCTCTGCGTCCTTGCCCTGGATCCATAGAGGTATGTTGACGGTGTACCTCCACGCCATAGTGCTGCGTTTGCTGTAGATGCTTTCAGACGATGATCACACTGCACCACGCGCAAGCCACTACGAGCTCTTCGACAGCAACAACTGGATCAGACCACATCGGTAACTTCGCGCGCCTCATGCTGCACTGATCGGACTAGCACGTAGGACGCGGGATATGATTGATACGGTACACTGGCCCTGGAGGGCGTCGTCTTTAGATGAGTACAGTACAGCGTATGTACGATAAAATATCGTGTCTTGTGATCGCGTTGTAAATTAATCATGTGAACGCTCGAGGTGCCACCTGCAGCGAAGCGCCGATGCTTCGCGCAGCTAAGCTCATCAGGTCGAGGTGGGGCAGGTCGCTCTCCTCAGGTCGCTGCCCTCAACATTGGCAAGCGGGCGGTGAATATGACCGACTTGGCAGTCAAGGGTGGTCATAAGGAATCTCAACGCTCAGCTCTATTGTACATGAGGTCGTGGTCAGCATGTCGCCCTGGGTGGGGTGGGCGGACCCAGACATTTGACTCGCAATAAAAGCGGGAAGTTGTGCGCAATCACTCGGCCGCAGTATGCTTTTGGTGGCTTTCGCTAGTCCGTGCACGTCCCCTCGGCGGGATTACTGCACAACAGCACCGACCCCCGTGGGGCCTTGCCGCATTGCCGCTGCCTAAGCCTGTCCGCGAGGCACTTGCTGGTGTTCCTGTCAATCGCATTACCATTTCCAGATGCGCGGTTAGTATTCAGCGCAGCCGTGTGAAGGTGTAGTAGGCAATCGCGCAGGCGCACACGGACGGCGGAAGCCCCGCGTGTGCGCTCCAGTGCGTGCAGCTTGCACACAACAACAGTTCATGGTGGCACGTGCTTTGACATGTTCTTGAACAACTTACACAAATTCAAGTCAATTTTCTTTACCATGTCGCCCACATAGCGACAGGAGAAGGAAATTCAGCTCGGCAGTGCCCTGGGCCGTGGGGAGGGAATTTCAAAGCAGTAAGCTCCCAGTAGCTTCTCTGAATAGCAAGTATCTACATCAACGATGCAATGGGCTGCGTTCGCCATCATGTGGGCGATAACCGCCCAAGGTCAGTTCTGCAAGGCCGCGGGCGCGTTTGAAAAAGGGCAAATACGAGCTAAGACCACTATGCGTGTGCTGCGTTAGATAGCGCTCGCACTCACCCCTTGCGGCGACAGCTTGCGCATGCACCGCTGCTGCTGCTGCATGTGGCGTTGCGCACGCACCCCGTGCATGCAAGTTCCGCCGACACATGGCATCCGCTCGCATCCAGGGGCAGCGGCAGCGCCGGCGGCTGCGGCGGCAGAGACGGCAGCGGGAGCTACGGACTGCGCCAGCTATGGCAAGCTGGACTTCTTCCCGGCGGGTTACACCAACCAGCCTGCTGCCTGGACGCGGCCGAACCAACTGAAGGCCGGGAATAACGACAGATACAGCTTGTATCCCATCGCGCTTTACGGCAGCCCCTGGCCGGAGCTGTTCTTCCTGCCAATCCACCCGCTGCTGCTGCCCAGCAGCACGCCGGTCACGGAGGCCTGCCGGCCGGCGGCGTCATGGCGCCGCAGGGCGCTCGGGGCCGAGTGGGGCAGCGTGATCCAGCCCGCGGCGTTCACGTGGTCGACACGGCTCAACGGCGGGCGAGAAATCATGGGGACGGCCGAGCCGGTGGTGCTGGCAAACCTGACTGACGTGCCGTCGTGGTCGGCCAATGTTTGGGGCCTGCGAGACGTGAGCAACGCGGGATGGCGGCGATGGGGGAGAACGCGCACGGGGGATCATTCAGGCCAGGGGCGCCCCTGGATGCGTGCCTGGAGACTTGCGGGACCCTGTGGTGGCCGACAAGAGAGGCGGCGCATGGAGGGCGACCGCTCAGATTGATGCAGCGGCAGAGCGCGGCACCGCAGCCTTTCGCGAAGCAGCAGCCGGACGGACGACGCCGCTGTCGCCAAACAACGCGCCCAGCCGCATGCGTGTGGCGATGCGGCTGCCTCCAGCCCCGCACCGCCGGCTGGCTGGTAAGGTTTGCGGCTGCGACCCATCTGCTCGGCTTGCTGGGGCTCACCGGAGCGGCGTGCTGCCACACCCCTGCAGGGAGAGCATCAGCTGACCATCACTGTGGTCATCGCCGCGGGCTCAGCCCTCCTGGAGGACGGCCCGCACGGCCGCCGGGTCCCCGCGAATGACATCACCATCAGTCAGACGGTCACTTTTTATAAGCTGACTCAGCGCCCGACCCTGGATCTGCACGTGTCCACCTGCAGCCCGGACCGTGAGGCGCCCAGCGCGGCTTGAAGCCGGCCGCTTGCCGCACTGCTTTGGCGGGGGGGGGGGGGGGCTGGGCCC